TGATGATGATGATGATGATGATGATGATGATGATGATGATGATGATGATGATGATGATGATGATGATGATGATGATGATGCTGATGATGATGCTGATGATGATGATGATAATGATGATGATGATGATGATGATAATGATGATGATGATGATGATGATGATGATGATGATGATGATGATGATGATGATGATGATGATGATGATGATAATGATGATGATGATGATGATGATGATGATGATGATGATGATGATGATGATGATGATGATTATGATACTGATACTGAGGATAAGATTAATTGTGATTAATATATAATGATATTGTTAATGAAGAATATTGATAATGCTAATGAGTAAGACGATAAATAATAATAATGATACTGATCTATTGATGAAACTATAATAAAACATATGGCCATATCATAATATTGATGACTAATGATGACAGTGATCACATGCATAATTGATAATGGTGATAATAATGATAAATGAATAAATACACATCTGCCATATGAGCTCGTCATATTCCTATTTTTCGTAGGGTATTCAAATAATAAGCTGCATATGTGCTTCAGCTCAGCTGCATTCTGGGTCTCGTCTGCGTTTTAAGTAATATGAGAAAGTTGCAATGCATTTTTCATGGGCTACAAAACTCAATTGCAACACTTACACAACTAATACACAGGCAAACGCACACGTACACATCTACTTACAATATTACATGGATATATTATATATGTATGTGCATACGCATATGTATTTATGTGATATGAGGTACATATATGAAAAACATTTGCGCCTACAAGTAGGCAATAGATTTACAAGTAGAACCAACTGCGTGTTTGTGCACATGTTGATTTTCACTCAATGCGTTAACGTCGGTTGCCTTTTAGGCTCCTCTGCATATACTCATATGTTGACTACCCTAGAATAGAGCTACAAAAATTTGTAACTCTATTTGTAGTTGCCTTACAGAAATTTATATATGGAAAGTCGAAGTGAGCAGATTCAAAATATTCAAGAAATTTATCTACCCCGTTTCGCTTTATAAGCCATTTTCTTCTGGTCCATCTACTCTTGCCCCGGATAGTGTATATTCAGTTCGTTACTTCATCGTTTGCTTATCTTTTTGGTTTTCGATATGAAAACATGTCCTCAGGTTGTATGTGTACCACGTTGCGTATGAGTGCTGCTCGATGTTTGTGTGTGTAAATGTGCATATGAAGTAAGGTAAACATTGTTCATGATGGCAACGACAACGACAACGACGCTCAACGGTAGAGCAGAGGGCACTAGATGCGGGCTAGTGCGGCGGGGCAGATACATGAGGACAGCGACTCAGCTGGCGTGAACTGTGACATAGCGAAAAGCTTCAAGCTGCGTAGCATCCATAATGCTAATGATATTTACTTTAAAGAATGACAAGCAGCCGCAGCAGCAGCAGCAGTAGCAGCTGCTGTAAATTTACATGATGGAAAACTCTTTAGAAATACATTAAGCCAAGTAACGCGACTTGTTGGTCACTTGATATAGCTGTGTGACTTCGTGCTACTTTCAACTGATTTTCTAACACTTTTTCGATAGCTAATGAAGCAATAAGCTAAAATGAATTTCGCTTTTAAGTAGGGCATATGAGTGGAAATATATTTTATAGAGTGTTTCATATTTTGAAAGCCTCTTCAAGAGATCTTTTAGGGTATTTTCCACTATTTAGAAAGTTAATTGAACAATAATATTATTAGTGTAGAATACGAGGGAATACATATTTTATATAATAATACTTTCTTTGGTTAATATTTTGAAGGAAATTTGAATGTAAAAAGAAGACTAATTTTAAGAGATCCAATACTTAGTTTACTGTCAATTGCACAAATCATTCAAGTTTTTTTATTTAAAAATTATAATGTTTGAGTGAAGTGAAGTTTTGCAAAATAATAGATGCTGAATTTGGTGACATTTAAAGTAATTTTAGAGATCTTTATTGTACTTTTAATAATTTAAACACACTATTTTAACAGTTCATTGAGCAATTAGTTAGACTGTTATGGAGATTTTATTATTACGGATGCTTTCTGAGCGGAATAATAATATTATTTGCTTTTAATAATATTAATAGGATTTTCCATGTATAAAACTTAATCAATATCGGAAAGGCAAATATCAAAAATTAGAAATAAAACCCCATTTCAATTCTTTACCATTCGAGAACTACTTTTATTACCCGTTCACCGATTGAGCTTCGATTTTTGGGGAATAATAAAACAAAAACAAATTTATACAATTTACCTCAATTTAATTAATAAATGCCCGCTAAATGTTACACGTAAATTTCTATTGCAAATTAAATAGGCAAATCAAAAACAGGCTTTACCTAAATAACAATTTAAAATTAAATGTGTGCATCGAGCACTAGGAAATTATATAACAATAATTGACAGCCCATTTGATTTGAATCATTTGTAAATAGAGCTGAAAAAAGTAATCACACACGCACACACACATAGGCAGACCATGAAATATGCAACACATTTGTGGAATCAACATTTCCATCTCTGTAATATAATACAATGCATACGTTAAAGTTGATTGTCATAAGCCAAATATTAAATACAACTATTAGCTATAATTGCTATATCCTGGATTCGGAGAAGTGGCATTCGCTTAATCATATACAATATTATTGGAGTTAAGGTTTGCATCCTTAATTGTAAACTGAGGTCAGGTACATGTGGCTAAATGTAATACGAAACTGCCTTTATAGCATAAGACTGGAAATTTCCTATGATTATTTATCGCCCGCCTCCGCAGTCATTTGTTTGCTGTTTAGCAACTCTCAAGTCCACAGCAGTTCTGCACAGGGCTTAGGGTATTTCCTAGTCAGGCATTTCGCACTAGAGCACATATAATAATAAATTGTGATATACAACTGAGCAATGGCTATTCATCCAATTCTTTACTACTCATTATGCCCGCCTACACAGTTTGATAACTCTAAAATCCAAAGCAGATCAGCACAGGGTGCAGGGTATACCCCAGTCGGGTACTTCCCACTAGAATAATATGATAATACATATATTAAACTGTGCAAAGACTACTCATTATGTCCATCATCTATTGACTAAACAGTCAACTCTATAATCCATTGGCATTTGATCTATTTTCAAATTGTGAACATATGTAAAAACTTGTAAAGGTTTTTGCACAACAACCCTTCAGATTCCTAAACATATTGTCGAAAAAAGACATTCTCGCACACAAAAAGTGCTTGCATGCGATTACAGTGACACTCAACAAGCACTCGACGCCTGTAATTAAATCCTGATTAAGTTCAAGTGCTCTGTAAGACTCGACTCAGCTAGTAAGCGTGTGGATTTGTTCACTGTTTTTCGGAGTTGACGGGAAGGCGTCTAGCGTTGATGAGAGGGGCGTTACAATTATTGGCGATAAGCCGACGACACTTGACTCGATAACATTGAGGACGCAACACCCACCAGGGGGGCGATAAAATTTTGTTGCCTAGTGTAATGCTTAACGATTGTGTTCATTGACTGGCTAACGATTTTGTTGAATAGGCTAATGCGACAGACGCATCGCATCTGCTGATGGGTTGTGCGTGTGTGCATGACTGTCTGCTTGTGTATGTGCGTGTGTGTATATGTGTGTTGTGTGTGCTACGGCATATCATGCTTAGCGAGCAAGATTCCTGATAGCACACATCGCACATCGAATCGTCATGAATCAACGGCAGCAGCGCGACAGCAGCTCGGCCTCCTGTGCGTGATTTGATAAACAATTGTTTTACGGCTGCTCAACAATTGGCCAAAAAAGTTAAAGCCAACTGCACATACATATAGCCAGTCATTAGGCAGAGTGCGTGTGCTTCGGATTGAGTGATTGTATGTGAATATTTATAAATTACCTTACCAAAAGGTAAAATTTTTATGTAGTTCAATTTTCAGATTCATCTATTCACAAGAATTAATTTTAAATATCTAATCATATGTTAGAGTTTACTTATTATTTTCTATTAAAGAGTATTTACTTCATAGTTTGGTTTTCTTAGATACATGAATTATGAAATAGATTTTATTATATATATATTTATATTTTATTATACAGTTTAGACAACTAAATTCTTGTAAAACTTTGTTTGTGTCTTTTTATTTGATAATTAAATAATATTATTTTGTCAGTCAGTTTGTTTATAACATTAATTATTATTTTTAGTGCTTTAAATATAAAAAAATAAAGGAATTCAGAGTTTAAAAACTAATCGCATTACTTATTAATATATACAATAACAAATAAAATAATAATAATTTGAGATATTTTATTGCCTTTAATTACAGAGGCCAATAAATTTAAGTCATCTATAATCGTATTAAATGTTTCCAAAGGTTTTTGAATGCATTAAAATTGAATATAATATAAGTAACTAAACACTATCGAGAACAAAATGAGAGGGAGAGAGAGGATGCAAGTCTGCCGTGCAGTAAATACTATAGACAACTTTTTGCCAATAGAAATCAATATTTTTTGAAACTTTAAACTTTTAAAAGAGATTTAGTAGTGAAGAAAAAGTATTTTCATATATCATAGCTGCTCTTGTAAAGACAGAAAGTTGTGCACTCTTACAATATCTGAAACATAAGTTAGAATTTCTCATACGTGAAATTTTGCCTGAGTCTCTTATTCGATAATCAAAGTCGTATTACTTTGTGTTATATATTGCAGTATCTCTTATTTGATAAAATGCTGGACATACTATGTTTTAAACATATATATATTAAAAAAGTCTTTATCTGATACCATTTATGATTTTATTAGTCAGCCTATTATCAAAAAAGTTGTTGATGCACAGTTATCAGCTGGAATACCCATTAAAATGGGTTTTTACATATATTTTGTTGCTGCTATATAAATAGGCAACTATAGCGAAGCAACGCCTTAGTAAAAGGTAGATTTCTGCGAAAAATTCAAGTGGCAAAGTTCAAGAATAAGAGATATGCCAGAAAAGGCAGCTTCGACGCTGAGGCGTAGGTTTCCTCTTAAAGACAACTGCCGGCCGTGCAGTCAACAGCCGATGCTGGATCATTTGGCACTGCAGCAACAAATCAATGCAAATTTCATCTTACACGCGATTACCAACTATAAGAAATCACCGTTCGAGCGAAAGACTCTGGACTTTATTGACAAAAAGTGGCTGGCATTGGTTGGGCTGTGGCGCGAGTTCCGGTGTCGGGATTGGCAAATACGACGTGACTACATGGTTGCCAACTTCAATGGGCATATCCACAAGCATCACAGATACTTTCAGCAGGAGCTGTACGCGCTCATTCATGAGAAATATATGGCGGTTTGCAGACGCATGAGTCGCGACAAAAGGAATCTGCTCAAGTGCACAGCTTCCCAGCCAGCTGGGCAGCATGTTTACCAAGCAGGCCAAGCTGCAGCGGATGTGGCGAAACAACATCGAACAAGCAGCAAGAGCAAACGAAACAAAGATACGACTAATAGATATCCTCTACATGAATGTGAGTTAGTTTTTTGAGAGGTTTCAATTTAAGAAGTTGTTTATATAGATAAAATTTAAATAATTTATAGCTGAATCGACTTAATATTATACTAATAAACTATGTATTAAATGCTAAGGCTCCACTTTAATGGCATAAGTACTATATTGCTATCGATTATCTATATTAATGCTAAATTTATATTAAATTATCGATATTTCTGCTATAAATGTTATCGATAACTTTTGATAAAGGTGATATAAACAATATAGATTATCGATACACACATTATCGACTATCGATGTTGATTAAAATTACCGATTACCGATTTTAATGCTACAAGAATCATCATTTCAGACAATAAGGATTAAAGGCTATCAATAGCAGATATTTAAATTAAAATTTAAATTAAATTAATTATCGATCTAACTTCTCTATCATAATCGATAATTTACTTACCTATCTAAAGACCTGATGAAACCATTTATTATTGATCAAATTTATATATACTCCTTATTCATACTCAAACGTATTATAGCTATACTTTAGCTATATTAAGAGATTCTACATTAAATAAGTAACCCCTACTAAGCGCCTACCTTACAGGGTATAACACGTATGAAATACACCGAGCTCTTTAAATATACATGCCCTATATCCACTTGCATATCCATTTCGGAGATACCCAATCGTGTTTAAATATATATGGAGCGGCTTTCGCAACAGCAAAAGGATATATTTCATAGAATTATCGCATATTTAAGAATTGTTTAATACACTTATCGTTAATCCATCAATCAGTCAGGCGATTGTGCCATTTGATTGATGGCCATGTCATTTGGCATTTGTGTTTAAAGTAAAATTGACTTCTCATATTCGTATATCGCTGACGGTCTATATGTGTTTATATGTACTTAACTATTGACTGTGGGTGTGCATGAGTGTGTGTGTGTGTGTGTGGGTAAGTGTGTTTGTGTACAGTCAACACCCACTACAAACGGCAGAGACCTTGGCCAAAGGTCTTCGATTGCAATCTAAGTAATGACACCTGAGACGCAACAATTCGTATTGTCATTCGACATTTGAGTTGCCCAAGAAGTGAGTCATCATGCGAGAAAAGTGATTGATATTAAAAATGAATTGTATTAATTTGATCACTTCTTACTTTAAAGCTTAAGAGGTCGCAATACAAATTTGATTATGCGGCAAGCAGATTGAGAAATCTATGGACGAACATAGAATACTTTTACTTCCATATAAATTTATTGAAATTTGGAAATTTAAATTTACTAATACTCTTGTGGACCTACTCTTTACTTTACTAAATTCTCATTTGAAATAGAATCGAAGTATTACATATTTAAAATCAAATTCCTTAAAAATTCTTATAATTATATTATTGAAATTTCGATAATTCAGCCTTTAAGCACACTTCGTAATTACTGCAAAGTCCATTTGAAAGAAGTTCCCAATAGGTCCACGTAAAGCTCGAAGAAGCTTTTATCATTAGACCATGAATATGGCTGACTGTCTAATTATAACCGGCTCATAACCAGTTTAAGACACGTCCACAGTCAATATTAAAGCGATTCAAATCATTCTGCGAAAGATTAGAAATGCTTTTTATGAGGTATATATTTGATAAAGCGTAATTGGAGAATACCAGAAATCACTTCAGATTTTGTTACTTTACATTCAGATAAGATAAGACTCGCGTCTACTTATTACGTCGATGCGTTCAGTAAATTCCCAGCCAGCGTTGTTTTTGGGAAAAGCCCCCCTATCGCTAATCGCACTTAATCAAAGTACGTAATATGATTATTTATGAGTTTATTAACTCACATTTAGCTTTATAGAAGACAATTAGTTCGAATACTATTTTTTTTTTATTGTTTATTCAATTAGTTCTATTTGCAAAAAAAAAAACAATTGTCTTGACCAAATAATGTGCTAAACAGCTTATTAAATTGGCCACAAAACAAACTAATTCGATAATTTGTTTTTCGGTTGTTGCCAAAACAGCAATCGCCAAGTTGGTCTTGTTTTCGCTTCTCACTTCTCGCTTCTCCCTGGCCGCTGCCCGCCGCCCGCTGCACGCTTGGTCGCTACTCGCTTCTGGTATTGGATATTGACCACACTTTTGTCTGTTCACTGAACACCCAAACCTGGCAACGAAAATGTTTTGTGGGCCCTGGCATTAAAACGACTTGGGACCACAAATTTATGTGGCTTCTGAGCGCTTTCACTCGCAACTGCTGAGGGTCCGTTTGGCAGGCCAAGCACACAAAATGTTGCTAAAGATAAATGTCTTTATTTATTCTGTCTGTAGCTCGGTAGCCAAGTAAGCCTCGATTAATATTCTTGTTTGGGTCAAAAATTATTTGCGAATTTATCGATGCTGTGACTTAATAGCGATACTTATGATTAGAGGATAAATCTGATATTCGTTTTCGATTAAGATCTAGTAGCTCAAGCTATAAATGCAGATATTTTATATATAGATTTAGTTAAAAAAATGTATTATTATTTGGTTAGTTTTTATTTAATAATTTAATTAGTGTCCTTAAATTCATAATTATTATAAAAACAACAATTGACATACATTGTTTTTAAATTTTATTTGCTTTTAATCAATTTTAATGTATATAGTATAAAATATGCCTTAGCTAGTATTTAATAAATACTATATTAATTTATATTGTATTCAATGCATTTTAATAATAAAACTTAACTTTATTTTTTAAAATATATATTCGATTATAATTTATTTTGGTTACTCTACATACCCCGACAAATATATTTAAATATACAAAAATGATTACAAGCAAAATATAGTTAGGTATGTAATAAGTTTAAATAATTTATAAAATAATATAATTTATACAAAAAAAAAATAGAGCAGTCTGTAGTTCCCATATAACATATTTGTTTTTAATATATTTAAAATCATTTACAAGAGAGTAATGACTACAATATTATTACTTTTATAATACTATAATACAGTTTTATTTGAGTTGTGGAAGTTTTTAAAATATTTAAAATTAAAAGGCACAGATTTAAAATCATTTTTTGCTATATATTATTAATTACTATATTAATTTTGAATTGAATTTATAGATATAAACTAATTATAAGTATTTATCTGACTTTATTTTATATATGTTCTTAAAGTTTATTTATTTAAAATTTACTTCAGATTTCTTTCTGAGGTCAACTAACAATAATCAAACATTTACAATACTGCAACATTCTTTTGAGTGCTCTCCAAAAGTGAAAGGAAAATGTAAAATAAATTTATGCAAAGCAAAAGTAAGGTAGACGACGGCTTAAATTGAGCAGCTAGACCCAAAAAAGAAGAAGAAGTAAAGGCAACGAAAAGTAAGAATAAGGAAAAACATATTTTAGAGTTGCGCGTCGCGTACTTTAATAAGATTTATTAAGTCATCGTCGCGACGTCGACCCACGCTGAGTTATCCAGCCTCACATTTAGTTGGCTCTGTCTTACCAAAAGGCAAATAACAACGGCCTAGAAGTGGGAGAGTTGGGCAAGCAGTAGGTTTCCCTTTTTGGTGGTTCTCTGGCTGTAAATATTTGTAACTTAACTCTTGCCGAGGTTGTTTGCTTTTGTGTTGTGCTCTGTCTGTTTATTTTCATGATTTTTTCCTCACTTTCAACCCCTCCCTCTTCTTCTATTTCTGTCTCTCTCTTATTTTGTTCGTGTTTATTTTTTCAGCTAATAAAAATTTGATGTGTTGCCTGTTTCTTTACTTGCTTTCGCACTTTTTCCCTTTTGCTCTTTTTTTTGCCTTTGAGCATTTGCACTTTGTCTCAGCATCAAATACAACTGCCAAATGGCAAATACCAAATATAATTTGCAAAAAGGCAAAAAATTTACCAGTAAATAACTTTGCAGTTTCATTTGTGTGAGACTTTTGTTTTTATACCCTGATCCCATTAAAAATGGCAAATCAGGGTATAATGGTTTTGTGCAAATGTATGTAACAGGCAGAAGGAGGCGTGGCAGACCCCATAAAGTATATATATTCTTGATCAGGACGACAAGCCGAGTCGATTGAGCCCTGTCCGTCTGTCTGTCTGTCCGTCTGTCCGTCTGTCCGTATGTGTGAACGCGTGGATCTCAGCATCTATAAGAGCTAGAGACTTGAAATTTTTTTTGTAGGTCCGTGTATAGCACGCGCAGGTCAAGTTTGTTTCAAATATTCGATAACTATTCGCATTTAATTGTTATCGAATAAAAACATTATTGAAATGCAGTAAATAAATTATATCTCGAACGTCTTAAGAGCTAGAGCTTCCAAATTTTGTATTTAGTCTTATGTATATTTTATGCAATTTTGATTTTTGTTGGATTTTGGATATCGGCTCCAAATTCCCCCAAATTCTTAGAATTTAAGTTTAGTTGGAACTAGGGCCATTATGTCAAGACGTTTGCATCTCAACCAAGCCAATAGGATATATAGATCATATGCTGAAAATTTCATTAAAATCCATTAAGTAAAACAGAAGTTATTAAACAAAACGTTTGTCCAATTTGCAAAAGCACATGTCAGCAGCGCCACGCGCACGCATTTTTCCTATTCTTTTCTATTCCAAGAATTGAAATTGCGATTGAATTGTGCTGAATTATTAGCTGCTACTTATGTTCAAATTTGCAACGTCTCGCGTAAGAAGGGCAGTGGCTGCGTTGGTAGAGGCGCCGCTCGTATGCAGCTTGGGCCGGGTTCGAGACCAGTGAAGATGAAATGTTTTTTATTGTTCTATTTTTTTTTTATACCCTGATCCCATTAAAAATGGGAAATCAGGGTATAATGGTTTTGTGCAAATGTATGTAACAGGCAGAAGGAGGCGTGGCAGACCCCATAAAGTATATATATTCTTGATCAGGACGACAAGCCGAGTCGATTGAGCCCTGTCCGTCTGTCTGTCCGTCCGTCTGTCCGTCTGTCCGTCTGTCCGTCTGTCCGTCTGTCCGTATGTGTGAACGCGTGGATCTCAGCATCTATAAGAGCTAGAGACTTGAAATTTTTTTTGTAGGTCCGTGTATAGCACGCGCAGGTCAAGTTTGTTTCAAATATTCGATAACTATTCGCATTTAATTGTTATCGAATAAAAACATTATTGAAATGCAGTAAATAAATTATATCTCGAACTCAAATTTTGTATTTAGTCTTATATATATTTTATGCAATTTTGATTTTTGTTGGATTTTGGATACCGGCTCCAAATTCCCCCAAATTCCTAGAATTTAAGTTTAGTTGGAAATAGGGCCATTATGTGAAGGCGTTTGCATCTCAACCAAGCCAATAGGATATGTAGATCATATGCTGAAAATTTCATTAAAATCCATTAA